TCATTTGGAAAATTCCCCACTTCATTAAAATAAACAATACGTTAGGTATGAAAAACTAAAATGAAAAGAATTCACACACCCAGAAAGTGTCGAATGATTTTTTTATGCGATATTGCCAATGGTGTATAAGATTAATGTCTATGTATAAGGCTGCTAATCTGCAACGTATCTAAAAAATATTATGTAATAATCTATATTAAGTAGATGTAGATATTACTTTTGAAACTTTGTTATTAAATGCTAGTAACAAAAATATAACACTAAAAAAATGTATATATCGATTTCTTTTACCATTCACTATTATTAGGGGGTCTCACTTACCGCATCACTTACTCTTGGATAATCACTTATAAAAACTAGTTTAAATTTAGGTATAAATATTTTACCAATAGAAATTAATATCAACCATAAATTTGCCCAAAACAATAAAAGTGAAATTTTGTTTGCTCCTTTTAAAATACCATAATATAGTAGGTAACTTGCTATGCGAACCAAAATTATTTCCATAAATATCATTCCTATAGCATCACGACGTTCCTTATTTAATGAAAGACATAAACAAGGTAAAGAAGTGACTAATAATAAAATAATTATAAACAGAAGATGGATTTTAACATCGAAACCAGGTGTCCTTCCGATTATGTAGAAAAAATTAAGTGCGAGACAACCCCCCGGTGCACCAATGGCGAAACCGATACATAAATCGATTTTATGACCGAAACAACTTAATATTAAATAACTTAATAAAGATATTATAGCTATTCCAATTGCTGCACCATTAACACCTATTAAAAATCTCGTTCTTTCACTAAAACCTTCTGTAGCATAAAGGAATATAGGCGGAAAAATGAACAATAGGAATATTATTAAGGCAAAATAGATAGAATAAGTTATGTAGCTTATCCATATTGCATACGGGGGTCTCAGAATTTCTAGAATTATCTCTAAGATTATAAGGATTAAAAGAATTCCAGTGACCGCAATATAAGGTATGTAATCGATTATTCCAAAGTTAAACATATCAGAAAGTTGTGGGCTTGCTGATACTATAGGCAATAAATAACTTGAGAAGAAAAGATATTTAAAAAAAGGGTTTCCTGCCATTATTCCAATAATTCCGTAATTTTGTGAATATAAATTTATTTATTCCGCCGTTCTTATTTATACTTTTATACCATTATTTCTCGAATCTTGAGTTCGGAATAACTCGGATCTTTATTGCCCCTTTTGGAGGTCGGCTAAAGCCTTGTGGATCACACCGGTGTTACTGCTGTAACATTCTGCGCCCCGATATTTACATATTTTTAATCCTTTATTATTATTTCCTTATATATATTATTTCTTATTAGTATAGATATCCTTTCTTATAATGTATTATTATTATTATCCTTATTATTATAATTACCCCCGTATAATGATTATCATAGTCTTTATTTCACTGTTGTACATCAGGTGGTCTTTTAGCCGATGATTGACAGATTCACGCTATTCCTATTTTAGCATACGATAGTCCAATTTCCGTTGCTTCCATTTATGGTATATGTTAATTGGTAGGGAAAGGCGTTAGGATTGTTTAGTTAGTCGAGACCTTAATTACATCATTGATTATTGAAACTACTCAAGCTTTATCAATGACTTCAATGATATTGCGCCTTAGATAGATTCCCCCCCCCTGACATTAAAGGAAATTCATTCCATGTCTTTTGTCTTGGCTGCGGAACATTCTTAATGTATATAAACAGCTCATGTTCGCTTTGCTTGTCAGTAGGTTTTGCTTGTAGGTTGGACTTAGAGGTTAGATCTAAAGTATCCCTCCTTT